ATGGCTGTATGCGGCTGCGCTGTTTACTCTTGTAAATGCCGATGCATTGGCGTTTGCCCATACATGCTCGGTCAAAGTATTTTTCAAATGCATCAAATGTACATTCTGAAATATACGTCGGAAATGTATGCACGGGTAAATTCTAATATAAAGGAGCATTGGCCTTTAGAAGAGAATAACTGCATACAGTTATATACTTGCTCCCTGGGTGTGGGTAAACTCTGGGAAATTATGCTAGGCATATAAAATGCCTGTTAAAGCCCCATGTGTATGAACCTTTAAAGAGCAGCAGCAGACTAATATTGTTATCCTCTGTGCACTGTGTTCTGTCCTCCTATCATGTCCATGAGAGCCTCGGATCTCCAAGGATTCTCACTCATGATTGGCTGAGGCAGCAGTGGGAACCATTGGCTCCCGCTGCTGTCAATTACAGCCAGTGAGCTAATCAGGAGAGGGAGGGGCAGGGCAGAGCTGCAGCTCTGTGTGATTGGACATGCAGAGTCGCAGCTCGGGAGCACGCCTGCTTGGGTGCCCCAATATCAGGCTGTTTGCTATGGGGGCACCCGACAGGAGGGAGGGGCCAGGATGCGTCGGCGGGGGACTCAAGAGTATCCGGGCTGCTCTGTGCAAAACCACTGCACAGAGCAGGTAAGTATAGACATGTTTGTTATTTTTAAGAAAAAAAAATAAGACTTTATGATCACTTTTATAAATACATGGCTGCAATCATTTCTGCCTGCATTCTGGGCATTCATCCCTGGGTGCACACTGCGCTAAACGTTAGAACAACTTGGGCTGTCCAGCTGCAGCAGCATTCAGCCTCTCATTTTACAGGCTGCTGATAGCAGTGCTGGACAGTGCACCAGTACCTTCTGCCCGCAGCAAATGCCAGGATCTCATTTACTGGGGCTAAACACCTAGCGTGCATAAGTTAGTAAGCTCAGCAATGCCTTTTCAAAAGGGAAACCATTTTTGGAAGACTTTGGTGTGAAGCTTTCTAAGCTTTCTGCTCTATGCTGCCTGTATGGCCTTCAGTTATGGCTATATCAATCATAGTGAGTAATATACAAGCTGTCTGCCATGTGCTATGGAGGATCCAATTAGTAGCAGTGATATGTGCTATGCTTGTAGAGCTGCCAATGGCTGGAGGTAGCATTGCTTACCACTAAGTCTTCTTGCTATGCAGTTGGCTAATAAGAAAAACATTTGTAGTTCCATGTAATTGCTCTTTATTATTCAAAATGGCTCAGTACGTTTCCGCCACTCCTGAGGTTCACATTCTACAGCAATGTTTCTCAACCTTTTTTCAGTCAAGCACCCTTAAAAATTATGGACAGTCCCAAGGCACCCTTTAAAATTATGGACAGTCCCATGGCACCCTTTAAAATTATGGACAGTCCCGAGGCACCCCATTCTAAAATGTGAAAAACTATTCTAATAGTTTTATATAACGCACCACACATGTAGTACACCCAACGCTAGAGGTGATTTATTCTTCCAAAGCATATACACTTTTCCACACTGGTACTGTCTAGTATTCCAGTGTTTCTTTTCTCCCTCAGTTTTTCTCCATCACTAAACTAATGCTAAGCACTGATGGAAATGGGCAGGGGAGGGTCAAACTAGGTTGCTGTGCAGGCAGCTGACATCCTCCTTATCAACTGATGATGTCATTGGTTGCCAGGATGCTGGCGGCTAGAAGGTTGTAATGGCGCACAATAAAAACCTGTGACTTTGTGTATCTAAAAGGCAGGCTTGTTCCACCCGTTGGCTTGTATACAAGTTTTGGGCAATTTTTAAACATTTTACCAAGGCACCACTGAAGAAACCTCAAGGCACCCCAGGGTGCCTGGGCACCCTGGTTGAGAAAGGCTGTTCTACAGTATAAAAGTCAACACAGCAAAGAGTTAAACAAGTGTTACCCATGGAAACTATTTCAGACCTAGTAAATTCTAATGACCTCATTTATCATGGCTGCTGAAGGAACAAGAATCATGAGCGCTCCATTTGTTGTCATTTCCTAGAAGTCCAAAGGTTAATACCAATATTGGAACACAATATTGGTGAAGACATGTTGGCCATCGCTGGGGATTAGGCAAAGAAATGTTGTCTCTGTCATGCGATCAGTTAATATCCAAATACATGAGCAATCATTGACAAGCCAGGACATCTCTCGTTCCCAGCTCTTCCTTACACGCCGCTTCTTTGATTGCATTTTAATTGTGACGCTTGCCATTTTAATATGCTGGAGACTTGTACTTCCTCCATTCAAAATGGCACAGATGTAATGAAGGGCACAGGTCACCGACAAGGCAATGAATCAAATATAAAGAGAAAATGACATAGTAAAACCTAATTTAACAAAGTGTAATAGATGAGGAGATGAGGAAAGTGTATGCATGTGGCTGTGTGTGTATAGTATTAATTTGTGAGTGTATATACTATGTTTTATATATACTGTATATACCTTATATATAATTTTTATTTAATGAAAAATGCAACATATTGTGTACAATGGATTTCCAGTCCTGATTTATAAAAGTCAGTTTTAGTTTAGCCTTTAATGAACCTTAAAGCGGAACTCAACTGTATCTGTGCACCACATACTGAAAATGCTATTTAACTTATTTTTAATATTCAAAGCAATAGTTAAGAAATAACTTTGATTAACACCCCCTAGCATTTCCAGCCATTGCCATCTTTAGTAAGGCCAGATGATTCATGTAGCATTTACTTCCTGGAATCCATCTGTCCTTGGCTTAAAGCAGAACTCCAGTTACATTTTTTATTTTCCCATGCAGAGTGGCTGTGCCCGCACTGCATGGGTAACTGCTCATTTTGTCTAGGGGCCCAGGGAAAAGCTATACCTACCCCCGTCCTCTGATCCTTTGGAAAATCCAGGCTTCCTGACATCAAGCAATGGACTGTTCCTGGCCTCCTCACATCCGGACCTGGTCTATTAGTATGATGACGTCAGGAACAGTCCATTCACAAGACCCCTAACGTGTGGGGGGCAGGAGTGGCAGGGACTGGTTTTGTACTCGGAGGAGCGTTGAATTTGGTAAGTATATCTCAGCTTTTACGATCCCCTAGTCCAGGGTTCCTCCAGAGGTTTTAGGGGTTCCTTGAGCAATGAGAAATTTCTAACTCTCAGATATATTTCTACTGATACCAGTGATCTTTTTAGCTATCTGTAAGGGGGTAACTCTTCCCAATGACACAAGTGTTGGGAGCATTCTTTCCACTGACCATCACACTATTGTATCATGAGTTTTAGACATAGTATTTTTTTTTGCAGAGTTTCCCTGAGACCAGAAAGTTATTTCAGGGGTTCTTCTGTATTGAAAAGGTTGAGAAAGGCTGCCCTAGACAAAAGCGACATTTTTAACTCATGCAGTGGGGCTTTGGCCGAAAATAAAGTTTTTGTCTTGATTTCTTCATTAAGCATGCAGACAGGAGAGTGTCTTTAGCAAAGAAAGGCTCTCATTCCTTCTACCAGATGAAAGAAAAAAATGCAGTTAAAACTGCTGGGATGTATGACATCATTTTGGCCTAAGCCAGAAACCAAGCAACTGATGAAATGTAAAAAAAGAAAGTTTAAAACAAGTACATGTAAATTTAATATACGTTCCTATCTATTTACTAAGGCTAGCAGCATTGGAATTGAAAAAGGGGTACAGCTGATTGAGAGTTTACTTCCCCTTTAACATTGCCTATAGCCCAGGTTTACTGTACAGGCAGGCATCAGTTCTGACTCCAGAACACCCTAAAATTTTGGTTCAAGTATTAGCCTTCTGAAAGTAGAGTTCTGCTTAGGACTCAACAAGCTCCTGCTGGTCACCATGTGACAAGATTCAGGTTTGGCAACTGGCCATTCAGTCATCACTTGCTGCATTATGGGGAGCAAGGATAAATATCCCATACCTGGAAGAATTGGTTATCTCCCTGGACATTGGTAGCGGTTGGCAACTGGTTCACCATTATCCCTAGGCTTACTATTAACCCATATTCATCCTTACAGAACATTAAATGATATGTACCAACTTTACTGCATATAGTATGCTGACCTTGATTCATTTTGGGCCTTCTCTGGCACACTGCAAGTTATGTAACTATTAATGTAGATGTCTCTAGGTGCCTGCTGGTAAGGTATTGTGTCTAATTAAACTTTACTGCAAAGTCGATCTTACTTTAAAAAGATTTGTCTGTTGCCAATCATATTTTTTATATCCCGTAAAGCAGGGGTATCCAATTCCTGGGCCACATTGGAAGAGGAATTGTCTTAGGCCACACCTAAAATACACTAACAATAAGGATAGCTGGCGAGCAGAAAAAACCTCAGGCAGATCACAATTTCACTTATATAAACAAAGTACCTGTCTGGGTAATAAAACTTCATTTTTGTAATTTTTTTTATTATAAATGTAAAAGAGGGCAATATAACTAGTGTAAATTTGATTTTGATAAATTATCACATCAATATCTGGTTCAATGGATTTAGTATCAATTTTCAATGAATTCTCAAGGTGCTCATCAGATACTTGCTTCTAATTTTGCCCTTCAGGTGCTTCATCCTTGAAAATAGTTGCTCACAAATATAGGTGCTGCTGAAAACTGATGACCTGAATAAGGCATAATTGTGAAGAATGGGATATTTTTCTTTGGGAAGATAAAAAGACAGGAAAAAGACACTATTTTTTTTTCATCTGCATGTGTTCGCTAAATATAAACACATTTTTACAAAAAATTCCCCCAAAAATCAACCTTTTTAAGTAAGTTTAGGATTCTGTGTTGGGCTGCACGTTTGGATACCCATGCTCTAAAGGTTGGTGTTTAAAGCCATAAATGTGATTTTTGTATATGAGAAAAACAGACTAGTTGATCCATACCAAGATCCATTATGCTAAAGCATATTTAAGAGGGGCCATGACTTGTTTTTAAATATCTTTAAAAATGTTGTCAACCATTGATATTAACAACTCTTTCTGTTCTCTCTTCAGTTCTTCTGGGTGCTGCTTGTCATCTTCATCATAGAGCTCCTACTGATTGCCATTGAACTTGTTTGTGAAACTCAGGTAAGTAACATCTGTAGAATCCTCAACATGATGCAGGGCTGCATGTGTTTTGTAAGAAAAATAATCACTTTTGCTTTCTTTAATTTCCATTGTGTGGTAAATATATTATTTAAAAAAAAATGTAAAGAGGAGATGCTGTAGAGAAAACATGTGTTATTTGTTCCATATGCAGAATATATGCAATATGTTTTAAACATTTTCTATACTTTTAAAAAATATACTTTAAGCCAAAAGTTTGATTTATTCATTTGGTCATCATTCTAGTGAGCTTAACACTCTGTGCCTGGAATAATATTTTCTATACAAGAATCATTAATGAAAACCGAATGAGTTTCTTTTTTTCCTCATTTCTCTCTCTGGTGGCACACATTGCCCAGTGTTTGTGCGTTGTGTAATGTTTGAGTCACTGCTTTCCTATTTTTAATGCAGTCTTGAGGAGTGGATTGCTCTTTTGTTGATAGCGAGTATGAATCATAAATTCATCTTTTGCAGCATCATTTGTCTCATAAATGGCAAGCAGAGCGCTAGGAGATTCTTAGACTTCAGCTTGAAAAGAGGCAATTTCATGCTGCATTTCTGAATATCAGTGTATGAAAGGATTTGACATCATGTATACGTCAGAAAAGAATTTAGTTAAAATTTGGAGAAAGAGTAATCATTATGGTAATAAAAAATATTGAACTGAGTACTATTTGTTTTGGGTCTTCATATCTATCAAACAAAAGTGTCATTGTAAAATCAATTGTTAGAAGTACTGTGTTCTAGTTTTGTGAATAGTAGGAGGGTGCAGGGATAGGATAAGCCACAATGTAGCTTTCTATTTTTGGTATTATTGGCAACACCATTTTGTGGAGTTAAGATACCTTGTTCTAACCCACATTTCCAGCTGGAAATACAGTTTTTGTCCTTCTGCTTGTATCATTCAAATGTGTCTATGTATTTTAAAGGGTGTGACTCTTCGTCCGTGATTACCTCTGTTCCAAGAATGAAGAAAACTAGTATAGACTATCATCAACAAATTTTATAGACCCATCAGCCTTTTTTTGCTCCTAGTGATGCCTCTCCTACTCCCAGGCTGAGTCTGTCTCTGTGGGGCATTGCTAATTCCAGGCACTTGGGGCATGTGTCCCACATATTTTGCGAAGTCCTGTCCTGACGGCGCAACATCCCATTATTGTTTTAGCACTATCACCTCCATATTTCATTGGACTTGCATCTGAGGGCAGTAGTGGACATTTGCTCCACCCTCGGCATCATCCCTTCAGTGGGAAGAATAGTCCATGAGTCCTGAAAATGGAAACATCTAATTAAATACTTCTGGGGCCCTGCACTATACTGTACAGTGAAGGAAATAAGCATTTGATCCCCTGCTGGTTTTGAATGTTTGCCCACTCACAAAGAAATGATCAGTCTAAAAATTGAATGGTAGGTGTATTGTAACACTGAGAGACAGAATAGCAACAAAAATTCAAAAGAAATGCATGTCTAACAAATTATGCACTGATTTGCATGTTCATGAGGGAAATAAGTATTTTATCCCCTATAGTTCAGCAGGATTTCTGGCTACCAGGTGGCTTGCATACAGGTAACAAGCTGAGTTTAGAAGCAGTCTCTTAAAGGGAGTGCTGCTAATCTCATTTTGTTAGCTATATAAAAAAACACAGGAGCAATCAAACAATCATATTCCAAACTCTCCACCATGCCAAAGAGCTGTCCAAGGATGTCAGGGACAAGATTGTAGACCTACACAAGGCTGGACTGGGCTACCAAACTATCGCCAAGCAGCTTGGTGAGAAGGTGACAACAGTTGGTGCAATCATTTGCAAATGAAAGAAACACAAAACAACTGTCAGTCTCCCTAGGTCTGGTGCACCATGCAAGATCTCACCTCGTGGAGTGTCAATGATAATGAGAACAGTGAGGAATCATCCCAGAACTACATATGAGGATCTTGTCAATGATCTCCAGGCAGCTGGGACCACGGTCACCAAGAAAACAATTGGTAACACACTACGCCAACAAGGATTGAAATCCTGCAGTGCCCGTAAGGTCCCTCTGCTCAAGATAGCACATGTCCAGGCCCGTCTGAAGTTTCCCACTGAACATCTGAATGATGCAGAGGACGACTGGTTGAAAGTGTTGTGGTCAGATGAGACCAAAATTGAGCTCCTTGACATCAACTCGCCATGTTTGGATGTGAAGGAATGCTGCCTATGGCCCCAAGAACACCATCCCAACTGTCAAACGTGGTGGAAACATTCTGCTTTGGGTTTTTTTTCTGCTAAGGGGACAGGACAACTGCACCGCATCAAAGGGACGATGTACCATCAAATCTTGGGTGAGAACCTTCTTCCCTCAGCCAGGGCATTGAAAATGGGTCATGGATGGATGTTCCAGTATGACAATGACCCAAAACACATGGCCAAGGCAACAAAGGAGTGGCTCGAGATGAAGCACATTAAGGTCCTGGAGTGGCCTAGCCAGTTTCCAGACCTTAATCTGATTGAAAATCTGTGGACGGAGCTTAAAGTTTGAGTTGCCAAATGTCAGCCACCAAACCTTAATGACTTGGAGAAGATCTGCCAAGAGGAGTGGGCCAAAATCCTTCCTGAGATGTGTGCAAACCTGGTGGCCAACTACAGGAAACATCTGACCTCTGTGATTGCCAACAAGGGATTTGCCACCAAGTACTAAGTCATGTTTTGTGAAGGGGATCAAATACCGTATTTTTTGCTCCATAAAATGCACCTGACCATAAGACGCACCTAGGTTTTAGAGGAGAAAAACAAGAAAAAAAATATTCTGAACAAATGGATTGCAGACATAGTACAGGAGATGACCAGAGACTGCGGACACAGTACAGGAGATGACCAGAGACTGCGGACACAGTACAGGAGATGACCAGAGACTGCGGGCACAGTACAGGAGATGACCAGAGACTGCGGGCACAGTACAAGCGATGACCAGAGACTGCGGGCACAGTACAGGAGATGACCAGAGACTGCGGGCACAGTACAGGAGATGACCAGAGACTGCGGACACCTTACAGGAGATGAGATGACCAGAGACGGCGGTCATGGTACAGGAGATGACCAGAGACTGCGGACGTAGTACAGGAGATGACCAGAGACTGCGGACACAGTACAGGGGATGACCAAAGACTGCAGACACGGTACAGGAGATGACCAGAGACTGCGGACACAGTACAGGGGATGACCAGAGACTGCGGACACAGTACAGATGACTAGAGACTGCAGACAGTGCGGACACAGTACAGAGACCAGAGACTGCAGACAGTAAGACAGAGAAGACTGCGGACAGTACAGGGGATGACCAAGAGACTACCGACAATACAGGAGATGACCAAAGACTGTGAACCTTAGGGGAGGGTGGGGGAGCGGGTACCTGAATTTGACAGGTACCCACTCCCACTTCCGTGGAGTCGTCCTCCCTTTAGTGTGGGCACCTGGCTGTGACAGCCGGGTGCCCACTGCGAATGCGCGAGAAGCGCTGCGCTTTTGTGAATGGCCCGGCGTCTTCTGGGACACATGACAGGTCGCGAGCATGCGCAGTGGGCACCCGGCTGTCACAGCCAGATTCCCACACTTAAGATGCTGGCGCGGGAAGACTGTACAGCGCCGGACCGAGGATCAGGTAAGGTCCTGCTGCAGAGAAGAGCTGAGCGGCCGGCCCGGTATTCTGACATGGTGTCTGCGGCGGAAATACCGGACCGGCCACTCCATATTCGCTCCATAAGATGCACTGACATTTTCCCCCCTTTTTTGGGGGGGAAAAAGTGCGTCTTATGGAGCGAAAAATACAGTAATTATTCCCCTCATGAACATGCAAATCAGTGCATCATTTGTTAGACATGCATTTCTTTTGAATTTCTTGTTGCTATTCTGTCTCTCAGTGTTACAATACACCTACCATTAGATTTTAGACTGATCATTTCTTTGTGAGTGGACAAACATTCAAAATCAGCAGGGGATCAAATACTTATTTCCTTCACTGTATATGCTATATCGCACATTACAGACTCCTGACCAAAATGTTAGTTTTCTCAACTGTTGTTGATGGCTAAGTAGTCCCTAACTATTTTAATGAGAACGCTCTTTAAGTTAAGGGCAAATAAAGTGTTAGCTCTTTATTTTGTGTGCAGAATGCAAATATTTCATTTAAAAGGGTGCTGAGATTTATTTGTATCTGTCAGCCTGGGTTCACACTGATGCAGTGCGGGATTCTCAGCGTTTTCTGTGCGAATTCCGCACCACATCAGAATCACATCCCGTTCATGTTCACCGTATGTTAACAACAACACCCCGAAATCGGTCCACAAAACGCGGCGCGATGTGCAGAATCGAATCGCATAGGAATGAATACCCGATTTTAGTGCGGACTAAAACAAGGGTCCTGCACCTTTTTGGTGCGGGTTCGGTTCGATTAGAGCCATACAAAATATATAGCTCCAATCGCACCTCACACAATTCGCAAGTGATCTGCACAGGAATGCGGTGCGGTTCCTGTACGAATCACATGCGATGTACCGAACCGCATATATGTGAACCCGGGCTGACGTATGGTACCAAAGTTAATTTTCTGGGCACAAGGACTGTGTCATATACATGATGTATATACTGCAAGCAGACTCAGGTTCTTATTAACCATGCTCTTTTAAGCCCCTTTCACTGTCAGCACAATGTGACCACACCCCAGGTCCCTCAGAATTCTAGCAATGCCCGTGGTTGCTTTAATTTTTTTTTTTTCAGCTTTTGTGCTTACAATATAACACTTTTCTGAAGTTGACTCAGATCAGCTTCTAATGCCATAGTGTCCCAATACCATTGCCTACCTTCAGAACTGTGCACACACTGGGCATCAATGTTTCAAAATACGCAGACTCATATTTCTCTATATTTTTACTAATACAACACGAATATAAAATATGCAATACATGTCTACTTTATGAAATCCATTGACTTCCTGCAGGAGTAGCTATA